ATGCTAATGTTGTTCTCAATTTATCATCAAATAATGAAGGCTTACATGTTGCAAATTCAGCTGTTTCAGATGACGCTACCAAACGTCAAATTATACTTGATTCTGGAGCCAGTGTTAATTTATGTAATAATCTTACATATTTACATGACTTTACCATGTTTGAAGAACCTAAATCTGTTACTGTTGCTAATGGAGAAAAAGTTCCTGTGTTTGGTTTTGGTACACTCAAGTTACAAGCTACTAATAAAGATGTTTTTCTGATTAACTTTACTGGTTATTGTCCTTCTATGGCACTTACACTTATTAATCCCAAATCATTACTTGGTCCAAATGATAGCTTAGAAATTACTGCTCAAACTGTTGTCCATTCTAAAATTGGTACTATTGGCATTTACAATGATATGATTAAATGTATTTTGACTCCAATTTTATCTCAATTAGATCCAAATATCCACGAAAATCTTATAAATTCAGTGTCATTTTCTACTTTACATTCATCATTTGGTCATCCAAATATAAATTCATTTAGATCCATGTTAAAAGATGCTGGTATTCCATTCAAATCATCAGATTTAGATATAAATTGTGATCATTGTTTCAAATCAAGAAATTTTAAGTCTTTTCCTACTACTTCAAGTTCACCTGCAACAACTGCACCTTTACAATTAGTTCATACAGATATAGCAGGACCTTTTGGAACAGCTAGTATTCAGAATGAACAAGTAATGCTAATAATTGTTGATGATTTTACAAGAATGAAATTTGTTTTTCCACTTAAATCTAAGAATGAAGCATCTGATAAAATTATTGATTGGATTCAAGAATGGGAAAGATATTTTATTTCCAGAGGAGGTCATAAAGTTGCATCTTTGAGATCAGATAACGGTGGTGAATTTAATAATCAAAAATTATCAAATTATTGCAAAATTCACGGAATAAAAAGAGAAACTACAATACCTCACACAAGCCACCAAAATGGTGTAGCGGAAAGAGCTATAAGATCAGTTGAAGACAAGCTGAGAGTTATATTAGAGACTTCTGGTTTACCTACTAAATTTTGGTCATTCTCAATGGTTTTAGCTGCTCAATTACTAAATATTTCAAATTCTGCTACTTTATCAAATAAATGTTCTTTTGAATTATGGTTTAACAAATTACCCAATTATAAACAATTTCACCCATTTGGCTGTAGTGTATTTGCACACATTCCAACCACTTACAGGTCCAAGTTACAAGCAAATGGTGTTAAATGCATTTTCTTAGGTTTTGCTCCCAATCAAGCTGGTTTCAATTTGTTCGATATTGATGCTCAAAAATTAGTAGTTGCAAAAGATGTTAAATTTATAGACACAGAGTTTATTGGTTCATCTATTGATTATTCAGGTTTAACTAATGATTCTTCAAATATTCAAGGTGTTGTTAGAAATAAATTTGATACAGAAATTTTCGCACCAAGTTTTAGACCCAATAGTGTTGCTACCAATTCAGAATCTGAAACTTCAAGTATTTTTAGTCCACAATCTATTGCAAATTCACCAACATATTCAAATGATATTCCTAATTCACCAAGTCCTAGTCCACAAATTGAATCTCCTTATTTACTGGATACTCCACAAGATAAACCCTCAATAATATCTGATTCCACATATGAAATTTCATCTGATTCATCGTATAATAGTCCAACTACTAGAGAAATCTTAGAAAATTTAAGTCCTGAACCAGCAAATACTTCAGATTTTAATTATTTAAGTGATTCATCTGCTACTGACTTTACTGATTCATCTGGTGATCCTGATTTATTTACTGGAAATGTTAATTTACTGATTGAAAAATCACTTTGCGGGGGGATGAATGATTATTTAGTAAATAATATTGAAGAAAAAACAATTGCAAAAGTAAATTATAAACCAAAGTCATCTAATAAGAGATTTAAAATTCAAAATACTCAAATTGATTTTTCATCATCAATTAATAATGTGGATTATATATATGGAAATGGATTTGTTGTTGAAAAACCAGTTGATAATTATATTCCAAATACATATAAACAAGCAATTGCAAGTGATAAAAAGGATGCATGGTTAGAAGCTATGAATGAAGAAATGGCTGCTCATGAAGAAAATAAAACTTGGGAGTTAGTTGATTTACCAAAAGATAAGAAAGCTATTGGGTGCAGATGGGTTTTCACTAAGAAAGATAGTGGAAAATTGANGTTGAAAGCCCGTCTTGTAGCCCAAGGCTTTAAACAGGTTGAGGGGGTGGACTATGGGGAAACCTTCTCTCCTGTCATCAGAAGTGAAACAATCAAATTATTATTTGCATTAGCTGCTAGAACCAATAAAATAGTTAATCAAATGGACGTATCTACGGCGTTCTTGAATGGTTATATAGAGGAAGAGATATTTATGAATACTGCTCCTGGTTTTGAGGTTGAAGGCAAAGTTTATCGTTTGGTTAAAAGTTTATATGGGCTTAAACAAGCTCCAGCCGCTTGGAATAAGTCAATCAATCTGGTACTAGAAAAATTTGGATTTAAAAGAGTTGCTTCAGAATTAGGTCTTTATGTTAAAGAAGAAGTGTATTTGGGTCTTTATGTTGATGATTTGTTAATTGCTGCTAATACTCAAGATGAATTAAATGAAGTTAAAGATTTGCTCAAAAATAATTTCAAAATGAAAGATCTTGGTAGTCCCAAAAAGTTTTTGGGGATGAATATAGACCATAAGAAAAATGGTATTAAAATTTCACTACACGATTATATTGATAAAATGTTGCAAGATTTTAGTATGCAAGATTGTAACCCAGCTGCTATCCCAACTATTA